TATATGTAATATATATATGTGTGTTGCTAGCTGTTCTCCTGGCTATGTTTCTCTTTATTTCTAGCGCTTATTAGGCGGGTTGGGCACCGGGCGAGGAATTTGTCACCAGCGGTGCGACGGAGTCTTGCCAAAGAGATTGTAACCGATGATGTATGCTATGATTTGTATCCTTTCGGTAATTAGCATAACGTTGGCAATGCAGAGCACAGCATTGATCCGAATAGCAGAGCGACGAGCCTATCTTGGCCACCAAAAATGTGGTATTTATATATATATATATGTATTTATTAGCGGTGTGGTTTTAGCGGTGCACACGACTCGATCCGTGCAATCGCGCCAACGAACTGAAATTGAAACCGAAAACCGAAAACGGAAAAGCGATAGCCGCGACCAAGATCCAAGATCTTTTTGAGACCCAGACCCAGACGATAAAGCCGACTCGGACTCTGAACGCGGCAGAGGCAAAAACGTATCTGAAAGCTGCCAGCCCCGGTGGCCGGGCTTAAAAGGCAAGCCACACAAACACCAAAACGGATCTGCTGTAAGCCAAGCTTCACCCCATAGCGAAACCGGTAACAACACAGACACGAAGCTTCTCTTTGGGCTCTCTCTGGGCCAACAACTCGCTCCCTCTCTCTTGGCGTCTTTCTCGAGCTTGAGTTGTGAGTTTTGAGTCTTGAGTTTTCGAGGGGAGAAAGTAAAAACGATGCGACTGGCGTACACTCAACTACACAGCATGGGACAGGGCCAATATCAAACCAATACCGACCAGACAAAAAAAAAAAACAGAAGAAGAAAAATATGAAAAGACCCACAAAAATCAGGCCAAAAACTCACGCTTTTGTTTCGACTGCGGTCAGAGGCTCTTTTTTTAACACCTTTTGTCTGCACTTTTGATTTCAAATCGCATCTTGTGAAAGGAGTCACGCGCTTTGTAATTTGCACAAGAAGCAAAAACAAAAGTTCCCCCCAAAAAGAAGAAATAAAACCTGAGTGAAGAGGCAAATATTTATTGCTGGCAAAGAGTCGAGATGAAACAAGTTTCATCTCATTGTGGGACGAGTCTCGAGTCTGGGGTCTCCTGCTGTGATGTAAGCTTAGACATTCCCATCCATAGACCTCTGGGTGCCGATTCCAGTCTAAGATTCAGATTCAGATTCAGTTGCAGAGGCAGCTGCAAAGGTCTCGCCATTGGGCAATCCGGCTCATTTAGAAATCGAATGCAATCCATCGGCGGTAGGGCATCCCCGGCGATGGCCAGGCACCAAAAAAGGTGACTTGGCCAAGTTAATTGTTTGGCCAAACAATTCGGTTAGTGGCCAGGTGCTAAAATGCCAAGCAAATACCGCCGACAGGTGGCGCATGTCCAGCAGCCATAAATTGAGCACCTAAATGTCATCAAAAAAGAAGGCTTCGCCCCGAAAAAGTGAATACATATATCAATAAAAGGGTGACACTTGAATTGCTAATTGAAATCAGCCAAAAACACTTAGACCTTCAAACGAATTTGATACAATTTTCGGTGCAGAGAAATTTGCATTAATGCAATCGACGCACGTGAAGTTTCAAGCCGAAAATCTACCCTGTTACCCAATAATTTGAAATGCGTCACAGTTAAGCCTAATTTGAAATTCTGTTGAATATTATCAGCATCTTTGTTTCACCGGTCGTATTTTACTAAGCAGCAGTTCCCCAACATTGTGATCATCTTAGTCACCTTAAGCATTAATCAGGTCTCCTTTAATTATCAAACTTTATTTAATGTGTTTTAATGTTCTATAATATTTGTGAAATACAACACAGTTATTAACTTTACATTGAACTATTAAAGCTAAAAGCTAATTATAAAATATTGGTATGACAATATTCAGTAGTAATTGTATTAACAAAATTTTTTATAATACTAATTATATCGTTGAAAGCAAGTTTTTTTTAAAAATAATAAGTTTATATGTAGCCAGCGAATTTAAAATTTCCGTATACTTATTTACAATTACATAGGTCAATAATTATAAATAAATTCCCACACTCGTTAACCCAAATTGTGTACAACTACAAACCTGTGTAAAATATCTTCCCAAAATTGTAAACAACTCAAAAACACCGTAGAGTCAACATGTTCCCTTGTAGAAAGTGCATTCTGACATGAGTCCCCACCTTTTCGTGTTCAGTTTCGAATAATTTCATCATTAAACCCACGAAGAAAAGAGTGTTGTGTTGAATTTGCTCAGCCCGCAGGCATGCAGGTCAATGTATTTATCGAGAGCTTGGAGAAGCGCATTTCGATTTGCATAATCTCGCATTAGCTGACATTATGTTTTCCTCATTTCAATGATGATGATGATAGACAACCTTAACTTTCCAATCAATCAGCGCACGGGAGCCGAATGCACGGCGACAAATGCTACGACATTTTACAGATCTGCAGCCGGTGTCGTTAGTTTGTTGCTATTTTGTTGCTGTTTGCTATTTTACTGCTGCTGTTTACCCTTTGATGTCGCTTCATGGCTAATGGACGCCCCTCACATGACCTTGCGATGGGGCCTTAATTTGTCACCTCAGTTGACCAAAACAAAAACTGAGCTTAAATTACATTTAAACGACCATTTCAGCGGCCGCTGGCTTAATTACAATAGATGTGTCCACAAAACTTAAACCCAACTCACAGAGAGGCATCTCTGTGGAGATGTTTCTCTAAAAAAACGAAATACAAAGCAAAAATTGGCATCACAAGATGGCATCACGTGCTTGATGCTAATCTTTTGATTTTAACGAACTGTGTGGTTTGCCCTCTGCAACTTGGCCGCAGCATATAGTAGTAGTAACAGGAACCAAGCCACAAAGCTCTAACTAAAGAAAACATCGAAAAGTTGTTTGCTTGGTTATGTTTTTGTTTTTTTTTTTTATTTTTTGCTTAGACGCCGTTGTTTTTTTGGTCAGACTCATGTGATCTGTACGACGCTATCGTCGACTGGCGACGATTTTTTTGGTTAACAATAATTAATAAATGCAATGGCGGGGCATAAGTTATATTACTTTCGTTTTTTGGTCAAACACTTGCTAATTGTCTACACGGATGTTGGGTTTTATACGACGCATTTGACCCCTTAAAAAATCCTTTATTCAGATTTATAAGTAACTCAAATTAAGGGGAATTTGTAAGCCGGTTCTATTTGTAAGTGCTGGGCGCCAAAGTTACGAACTTGAAAAGGGGAATTGTTTAAATCGGTTTTAGTATCAGAAGAGCCTCTCATGTCATAGAGCGGCCGTTGGCCAAACTTCAGCCTCGAGAATATCGTGTGCCTGGCACTAAATCGATCTTTTTACTGCTCTTCAAATGGCGTCAAGATCTGCCAAGTATCGAGGTCCGGTTTAACGCATTACGTAAAAGAGCCGCACACAGAAAAATAAATAAATATCGATTTAATGATATTTGAAAAAAATTTATATACAAAATGAGAAAAAAAAGAGTAAAAATTCCGTTAGTCAAAAATAATAAAAACAATAAGAAGAAGCTGCCTCCAAAAAGTCGCTCAAGTGTTGGACATGTTGTTCACGTTATGTCAAACTAATTTCAATAACTGAGAGATGGGGCGAAAGGGCCGATCGGTAATTTATGTGTCGTTAAAATTCAAATTCAAAATTTATAATCGGCGAACAGAAGACAAACGGCAGCGGGAATAGCAATTAAAGATGCCTACACAGACTGGGTAGCCTTAGTTCAACCGGTTCCTCTTTATCAGCAATAAAATATTCGCACTTTAACCCTCCACAAGGTGGCCACGCAGTGAAAGTATTAAAGACCATAAATAAACTTTGAAATAGAATGTGCAGCAGTTGTTTACAAGTGTGCTTTTAAAATATGAGAGCTAGAATATAATTGTTTTTTTTTATTTAGCTAATTCGAGGTATAAATTAAATAAAAAAATGTATTTCTGTACTACAAATTAATCAGTCTATTTGGCTTGTTCTTGACACAGAAATATATTATTTTATCAAATTTGTTTTTTTGTATGGTGCCAGTTTTTGCATGCAAATAAAGTCCTTCTCTGAAATCTCTTGTCTAACTATTTTGATGTCTTTGTTCTTCACTTCAGCTTCAATTGCTGCATCATTGCTTTGTATAATCCAAACAAACGTGCTTTGTGTGGGTGTTTTATGAGATTCAAGAATGTCTATAACTTCGTGATTGTTGATTGAGCCGGCAACAAACAAAACACTTTTAACTAAGAGGAATTTATTGGCATTTTTTCATTGTTTTGATTTAAGCTATTTCCCCATTTCAGTTAATTAATTAAGTAAAAATTTATGATTGAATTGTAATTGTAATTGTGAATTAAGTTAACGTGCCCTTATTTAAAAGATGAACTTGAATTACTTGAAGTAAATATATTCGTGTTGAAGTAAGTATATTCGCGTTGTAAAAATTGGACAAGCTCACAATTTTGCCTATCAAATTCCTTGGCCGTCAAATTTCAAACGACTGTGAAATATTTGTAGTCAGTTTGTAAGAAATTGTTTAAGTAAATATCATTAAATCTATATTTTATACGATTCCGCACATTTAATGCGGATTCAGTAACGGGTTTCTCAAAGTCGGGAAACTTACGAGACTTTCTTGAGATTACTGTTGCGTATACGCCATGTAAACTGTAAACACTTCTAATTAGATCTGCCCTAAAAAGTATGCAACAGATTTTTAATACTTGTGTTTTTCAAAAACCATCAAAAGTAGGCAATTATTTTAGATGAGAAGAAAGCAAACAGAAAATTGTGGAATATTTTGCGGTCAATAAATTTTCATAGTATGAAAACAAAATAACATTAATAACTAAGTAAAATATTAAAAGACATGTATTTAATTTTTAGCTAGTATTATTTATTTAAGCCCTCCTGAGTTCATTGTGGTTAAGCTATGGTTTTTAAAATATTTACATTTTAAATTGCTATTAATATGGAGTAGATTAAAAATCTAAATATATATCCCAAACACGAATAGCTAATTTTTAGTTAGTATTATTTATTTAAACCCGCTTGAGTTCATTGTGGTTGAGCTCTGATTTTTAAAATATTTACATTTTAAATTGCTATTAATATATCACACTTAATTTGTTTTGCGACTAGTCAAGGGATGTGTCGTTTCCTACAATCGCTTTTTGCTCTCGTTCAGTTTGTCAGCGGCCTGCCCTTTGAGCCACCACTGGTGGACCCTCCTGATCATCCGCCAAGGCAGCCAGATGGCGAGGAATGCGCCCAGCAGCACACATCCCAGGACGTCGAGCAGCAGATACTGATGCAGGGGAATGAAGGCGCCCTGCGACTTCAGATGCCTGGCACCGCGATGCCGGATGGTGTACTCGATCCAGAAGGTGGCCTCATCCAGCGGATGTATGGGATTATCGCGGAAACGCTCCGAGACCTGCAAAGCACTGCGTTTGTACTGCGGATCTCTGATCAGCGTCTCGATATTGCGCACCAGATCATCGGTGGTGAGTTTGGAGAACACCAGAGATCGTGCATAACCCTCCCGCACCGATTTGATGGTGTTCCGATGCTGATCGCCATACAGGGGTATGCACAGCATCGGCACGCCCCAGTAAATGCCCTCCTGGGTACCGAAAATGCCACCGTGGGTGATGAAGAGCTTCACATTCGGATGGGCCAATATGTCGTTCTGGGGCATCCACTTCTTGATCATCACATTCGAGGGCAAATCACCTATGGAATCGTTCTCAAACTTCCATATCACTTGCTGCTTAAGCTGACCGAAGGCCTTGAGAATCAGAGCCGTTTTCTCCGGCGGCAGATCGGTGCTCTTCACATAGGAGCCCATACTGAAGTAGACCACCCCGTTTGTGGCATTATCCAGGAAGCTCTGAAGGTCAGCGGGCAACTTCTTGGGTTTCTGAATGTGCGCTCCACCCACATCGATAAGTCCTGGCATACTGGGTCTCGGAAGATCTATGCTACGATGGGCATTGATCAGGACAAGTGAGATATTACGCTCTAGGTCAAGAACTTGCGGTAGTGGACCTTCAAGGTAAACAACAAATTTAATTTGGTGGTCTACAATATGATATATCCATCACTCACCATCAATAGATCCCTTGAAATACTTCTCTGCCAATTGCTGCATCTTGGGTAAGTAAACCCAACGCCTCATGACCGCATCATACAAAGACAAGTAGGCATTATAGGCACGCTGGCTGAAGGTCATGCGATCTGTATGCGACAACAGAAGATGGGGAATCAAGGACCAAGGAGTGAGGATGCCCATTGCATGGTCTATATTGTCAGCATAGCCCATGGTGCCAATGGTGACCACCGGACAATTAAACCGCTTGCCAAACATCAAAAAGGCCTCATGGAAAAACTGCTCCAATATGACCAGATCATAATGATCGTCCTTGCTCTCGATCAGTTTTTTCACTTTGGGATCTTTGAAAGCATGCTCCGTGGTCATGAGTCCAATGGTCCACCAAAGCTCCAGATTGTTGAAATCGCTTACAAACTGCATTGTGAAGATGTTTTCCTTTGGAACTAGATTCAATTACATTATTTATTTGTTATGTTATGTGGTTCAATAATATCCAACTCACAGTGTTTGGGGATATCAAAAGAAGGACTGATTATGATCTCCGTAAGATTCTCGTGGGGCTGCTTTGTGGGATGGTTATTGACACTGGTCACATGGTGTCCCTGACGAAGAAGATCTTTTTGGAAGTGCTCCAGCCAGAGCCAATGACTTGGGGCAGGAAAAGGTCCCATGAAGAGTATTCGATAGCCAGATCCAAATCCCGGCAGTCCAAACAGGAAGATCATCATCCAAAATTTCCACTGCAGCTGCATCTCCATCTGATGCGAAATCAACATTGACAATTAACAACCTCAATTAAATTGTCAGTCGAGTAGGGTTAAAGTCGCTTTATTAGCGTCAGATTAGCATTAGTTTATGTTCGCTATTTGATTTCGTTATTTGCATAAGGCAAAGTGGTTTTGCACTTACTAATTGAAAGTTATTGTGTTTTTAATTAGATTTCTAGTTTGTTGGATCTTCCAGCTGCAAAATGAATGGCTTGCACATGGATGAAAGGGAAATTATTACAAGTGATAATTAATTAAATTCAACACATTTAACACCCGCCAACGTTGATATGTTCTTTGTCTACTTTGCATAAGTAAATATTTAAATTATAATTTTATTAATCGGAAATCATATCTGATATACTACTTAGCTTTGATATAGCTTGTTAAGTGTTTTACAGATTCAGTCTATTAAATGAACACGCCTTTGGCTTTCTGACAGAGAATTAGATCTAATTGAAATGCAGCAAGGTAATTTCATCATTTTGAAATTAGCAATTAATATTTTAAGTAACCCAGACGGCATTCTTGTTGACTTACAAGCCTTGTATGGTAGCTCTCAGCTTATGGCCAACACACAGGTTTTTTTTTACTACCGCGTTTTAAAAAGACTTTCCAGACTGATTTTGTAATCTTTATATTTTCCCTTATCATTAATCAGGACTGGGTCCACATTTGTTAGCTTTAAAAAAAGATTTAACTATATCTGTCCCTGACTTATTTAGCTGGTTAAGCCCAAATGAAGTGTGGCTTAATTGGTTTTAAATTAGTGTTTCGACTCTTATTCACATTTAATTTGTTTATTACCCTGTCAAAGGGCATGCAAAATAATGCACAATTTTGTCAGTTAAATGAAATTTTTTTACTAATTCATTTTTTGTTTATAGTTAAAAAGTAGTTTATTTCCATAAAAAATTACAATTATTTATTTGTATCTTCTAATTACAAGAGAATAGCTTAGAGAAAAAACTGCAGGGCATTTAAAGATCTGCCTGCTACTTTTGCGGTGTAATTTCTTTACAACTTTTTGTTTAGGTTGATGATGTATAACAGGCAGCTAACTTAAATATGTACGAGTAAACATGCTACAAGTTGTTGTCATTGAGCCGTGCTGATAAATCGCATGTGGAAATAATTTTGTCATCGCAACTCGCATTGCAATTTACTGTTATACTTTTATAGCAAAATTGTATTTCCTTATATTAGCTAATAGCTACCGCACACAGTTGCATCTATGTGTAATTTAAGAGGTATTTCTAGCTTAAGTAGGGTTTTAGAGGCTTTGGTCAAGGTTGAAAGTTAAGGCATAATTGGTTTGTAATTTGTTTATTGCTTGCCAACGCTAATTGTTTATTTGTTGGGAATTAAAAACATTTTATTTTAATGATGTAAGTGCTGGGAAGTTGGGTAAGTCTTGTAACAGTTTTAGAGATTTGATCGATCGAAGTGCCGAAACAACTTTTATTTGAAAGTAAAAGTGATTTTTTGTGAGTGCGTTGAATGTGAAAGTATTTGCCGCTTTTGAAATAACTTTTTTATACAAATAAATAACAATAGTAATATAAAATTTGTTTAGAACCTTGACCTTACACATTGCATTAAAAGTTTTGCAATAAAAACTGGTTACTAATGTTTACTATTTAACGAATCAATTGCCACAATTAAAGATGTATAATTTAATCGATTAACAGTTTATAAAAAGTCTTTGTAACAAAAAAATTAAGTATAAGATATATAATTTTAAATAAGCTTTTTATATATATATATTACCTATCAATTTTTAAAGAGAACTATTTATAAATATAATTTCATTTAATTTAATAATTTATATATATATAATTATATTTTCCTTATTTTAAGAACTTTTTGAAAGAGATAGATTATATACATTTATATTACTTATTCTTCAAAAGATGTTTAAAAAATGTTTAATTTTCGTTTATGCGAATATATTATATATTATAATATATTATATTCCTGGTTAATTATTAACCTTTTATATATTGCGTTGACTTTGTCTCACAAAAATAGCTTTTGAATTTATTTGCGCAAACAAAATTAAATAAACGAAATTAACACGTTCCGAATTCAACGGCTATTTTGCGCGAATCGCGACCACTGGGCACCAAAGTGCAGTTATCACTGATACTCGGCGGCTCAGCCGAAGCCCCGAACACCTCAACTACATCAGCATTAGCCTCAGTCGAAGTCGAAGTCTCAGTCGACGCCAGCAGATATACACAAAGCATATAGAAGTACAAGCTTAACTGCATCTGTGGGGTTCGAGTGTTAATGCCGCCCTGGCATTAGAGGCAAAGATACAGAGGTAAATCAACCGGCGACGGCGACGCTCATTGTTTGCCTTAATCTTATTGTTTGATTGTTGCTTGTATGTGTGCTGTGATAATTGCAATACGGTTACAGATGATTGCAAGTGTTGCCAAAATAATTATAAGCTGTCAATTTCACCTTAATCCATACATTATTCATTCACATGTCGATCGTCAGATCAGAAATTGCAAGCATATCATTTTTACGGCGAAATAGACTTGGCCAATGAACTTTTGACAACAGGGCTTATAAATTAATTGGAGTGGGTATTTTGACAACAAACAACAACGAACCTGCTGAACAAGAATCTGGTCTTATCAACAAAACAAACAAATATAAAAAACAATGCTTTTGTTTTCAAATTTTAAATTAGCTAATCTGTATTTCTTACCCAAATACCCTTACTGAGTTCGACCATATCAAAAACCTAGTAAAATCATATTTCATAAGAAATCGCTTCAGGATACATTATTTTGAATAAATTACGAATTTCTAAATAAGAAAACTGCTTGCCTCGACAATGGAATTTCCATAGCCAATTATTTGCCGCATTTCCTTGTTCACCGGAATCAATACAATAAGTTTGACAAAAACGTGTTTCATTTGTAAACGGAAAGTAAAACCGACATTTTTCGTGTGGAAATTACATGTAGTATAACAAGTATAATACAAATGTATTTTGTGCATTCACCTTGGGAGCGGTCAAGTTCACTTCATGATAAGTCATATCATTAAATGATAAATAATTTTTGTTGACTTTTTATGGTTGGCAAACAAATGGTCAGGAGAAATGCAAAAATAACACAAATGTCATAAAAGCCCACTGAGAACATGCAACAAATTAAGGAAAAAGGGGAGGTAAGCAAAAGAAACAAACCCAAACGAACTTCAAAAGTCGGCTAAAAAAGGGCACACTCAACACAAGATGCCGAAACATTTCATTGAAAATTGGCACGCTTCATTGAAGCGAGTCACAAAAAGCTGGAACCGCACTCCAAACAGGGGCGGTGAGGCAAGGGGCGTGGCAGGGCGTGGGCGTGCTCACCCAAACCAGCGACGATGATGGACGACCATGCCTTAGGCGCTGTTTTGATGGCAACTCAAGACATGGCCAAGAACGGCACTTTTGAAGCATACGATCGCCCGGAAAGGCCACCAAAAAGAAAATTTTCATTCATAAGATCGCAGTGGACATGCCACAATGAAAATGAATGGCCTGTAACAAAAATGTCGGAGGAAAAGAGCGAGGAGAAATTGGTGGGAGAACAAACAGCTCATTAAAAAACAGACAAATAAAATTTATTTAATTTTTCAAATGAAAGATGTCTAACAAGCAGCTTAAAATGATTGAACAAATCCTGAACTATGTTTTTTTTAAACTACATTGTATTACATAGCAAAATATCTATGTAATTAAATTTGAATTTATATAGATTTAAAAAACGCCTTTCGACCAGTCTAGTTTTATTTCAATATTTATTTGAAATATGTATTTGAAGATACAAACAAAATGAATCAACCCTTAGCGACAATAACCAATGATTCACTCTGAATCATTTACGAGGTGCAAACGACAAATTGCCTTAAACACCAAACCCCTTATAAGATTGCTCTGATCAATGGAACCACAAACCATTTCGGACCCCAAAGCCCAGCCCAAATAAAAATTGACTAAAATGGGAATGAAACATAGAGCACTATTTGTTAGTTTGCGCCAATTTAATGTTTACTTTGCACTTCAGTCCACGGCCAAATTAGGGTAAATCAAACAAATACGCATGGAAGCGAGACCTTTTGTATCTCATGCTTCCATTAGTCTCTATCTATCAATCAATTAAGCCAACGTGCGCTTTTCCCAGGCGCGTTTTAGATAAAGACACCATCGAAACATATAATGGGAACCAAACCCCACGATGACACTGACAATTTTCCACTGAACGATGGCCTTTCGATTCCAACGCGTTGCGTTGCGCGGGGCAATTCAAAATTTCACCCAAATAGCAAACGTTGCGCATGATTAGTCGACGAATTGGATATCTTCGATCCGAACCCGCATCGGGAAAACTCGATGCCAGCAGTCAGCGGGTGGTCCGAAAGGCCCACGATGGCAGAAAATTGTTGAGACCTGAAGGGAGTGAATCTTGTTTTGGCAGCTGTCAATGTGTCAATATTAATTTAATATGTCGAAATCAGAATTCAGCACAATTTAAAATTGAGTTATAATGTGACACACGAGATGGTCTCGAAATATCTGGCACTTTAGGGGTTGTAAACTGAACTCAAGTGGTTGGGGAATCTGAATGGCCAACCCCGTAATCTCAAGTATTTTCTTGAATTTCTGGTAGCCTTAACCTCGACCAATTTGTTAATGAGCAAATTACATGGTCTTTGCATATACATTCAAAGTTCAGTACCTTAGCATAGCATAAACTATCAACCAGAACACTGGACACGCCCTTAAAGTGATTCACTGCCGGAGGAACTCCCCCACATTTACCAAGAATTTCTGGTGATAGGCAAACAACTATAAAAACTGTTGAGGCGTAAAAGGATGCACAGGCCCTTTTAGAATTTATTGTAATGGTAGGTGTACTTACCACTTCCTTTCAAGATAGCATTATCATGGTGCCCAAAGATTGGTGATCGTCCATGGTTGACTTGCTTTCTTAAGATGTTGTGTGAAATAAAATAGTAATCCCGTACTCAGATGTTTTTGAAGAGGTTTCGGAAGTATCTTAGAATTTTGGAATTTCTGGTTTTTATTTTATACTCAATAAAATATTGTAGATCTTGTATTAAAAAATAAAGAAACATAATTCGAGAGGAATATCTTTTCAAACTGAGCCTTTAATTTATAATTTATGGTGGCTAAAGGACATAATCCTATTACCAAATGTTCTTTCACATTACACGCTTCTTTGGGGTAGAATTTTGTTGAATAAACCCCAGATGGTGGCTCTTTATCTCTGAAAATAAAAACACAAATGTAACTATATGATTTATATAGTCTATGCAAATAGACCGAAATATGGCTGAGCCACTTGACAACCCTGTATGCAAACAGCACGTGTACATTTAAGTTTTCCTACCTCAAACATAATACTTTCGAAACATACATTTGACTCCATGTCTATCCCACTGGGACTTTATCGTCGAATTTAGTTTCGAATGTTTTTTGGGATTGCACCCAAGGCATTTTCAGCATTTCTCATTCTGTTTTCGATGGTGGTGCTCTGGCTTCCCTGGAGCAATTAGTAAGAGTGCAGTTTTATGTGTTTATTTTTACATATGCCACAGCTGTGTGGCCTAACCTAGATCCGTGTAGACGCTCTCGCAGGCACTCCTCCGGAACACTTTTCCCGAACACAAATTGTGCGTGATATGGAGTCGTTGCTGTCGCCGTTATCGGGAACAGCCCCTAAGGGTTTCCTTTCGCGCTGCACTCGTTCAGCCCTCAATGGGGGCGTGTAATCGAAGGCACACAGAGAGAAATTATTTGTGTTAAGTGCTTATTGATTCTGTTTTTTCATACAACTCAATTCAATACCATACAGCCTAAAGAAAGACAGTCAGAAATTATGTTTGATAGACATTTTTAAATTCGAATAATAAATAAGAGTACCTCTATTTATTTTAAACGGTAATTACTAGTAACTGCTAAATTACAGGGACTTAAACGCCGATAATCTTTGATCTGCGAAGATTTCAAGTTAGAGAATTGATTTAAGCTTTTCATTGCCCAGAAAACTTTTAAAACTTAAATGCATTCCAAGTTAAGTATATTTTTTATATTGCTCTTGTGGTTTGGCCATATCGATATACCAATATAGGCAGAAAGTTTTAATTGTTTTTGTATTAATTGATATTCAAAACAACATTTAATAGGTTACCTTTTTAACTTAGCTCTTTTTTGTCGGTGCAGATACTCCCGCCCGTGTGGCTTAGGAGTTTCCCTAGGTGTTTTTTTGTGATTTTATGCATTTAATAATATTAATGAGCTAACCGCGGCGAATTCTTCATTCAGAGCGCCTGATTTATGTGGCATCTGCTGTCAGTGGGAATTTCTGATGGCTGTCAGGGAGGTCGAATAATCGCTGGGTGCGGGTCGCTGGTCGCTGGTTTTTCGGTGTCAAAGGGTTCATTAGCACGCCAAAAGGATATTTACACAACAGGACAGACGAAGGGGAAAACAGCAAGCAGGAACCGTGTGACTTATGTAACTTAATAGGCTGATGAAAAATGGTTAAGAGATTTTTATCACTCGACATGCAGAGACAGCCAGAGGAAGGCAAACAACATGTGGCAGAGTCGGAGGCAAAGGCGATGCCCCAGCCAAATTGCAGCCACATGTGTGGGTGCACAGAAAAAAACCGCATTATCATAGTGAATCTGATATAATAAGATCATCATTTAGATTGAAAAAATCAAAATACAATTATTTTCTACTATATTTCCTATAAAAGTTATTGTTTTGCCAAATATTCTGTAATTTTTTTTCTGAAATTAAATCCATTTTTATATGAAATCCTTTATAATTTTTTTACAATTATGCATTTGTTTCCGATGTATGGGCCCCTGCCATCCACAATGAAGATGAAGATCATCAGAGAGCAACGGCAGCAGCGTCCAAGCACGGCTAAACAAATTGAAAAATTTCAAGTCCTCAGCCTCTTGGCGCTCGCAATTGCTCAATCCGCGTATTTTCGCGTGCTGCTCAGGAAAATGAAAATGAAAACACAAAATAAAAGGGGGAAAAGCGGAGAGCACCAAGCACTGAGAAAATGAACAGTCGAACAAA